TCTGCACTTACTCTAGTTTTCTGAGGAGGAAGCTTTATGTTCTGGAGGCTGTCGCGATTAAAACGCTGTCACCAGAGCTGAACAAGCAAACCAACCCCTTAGTCACCCTTCACCTTATTTAGGGACGGTCGGTGCCATCAGTGGATTGTATATCTTGTTATTCAGCATGTGTTTTGCCACTTAAATTCTTATGCTTCTAAAAATGTAAATCACCTTGTTTAGACACCGTGCAATTTGACAACCGAACTGATCTTGATTGTACCTACTCGCTATGTCTTACTGGTTATACCTAACTGTAAAATGTTATCACATGTTAGTCGCTTGTACGTTGTATGTGTGTACTTTTGTGAATGGAATATGTAAGCCCGAAACATCAACCCAACCAATAAATGCCAAAAATCGGTGGAGTATCTTTTGGTCTCAATGATGGATAGACAACCGTAATAAGAAAACTAGCGCAAGTGCAGAAAAAGCTTATTGAATCCACCTACGCCAAAGTCTTTACCAACACTTGTATAGAAGCATTTTGCTGCCTACTTATACCAATATATGAATTTATATATATATATATATATATATATCTAAGAGAGAGAGAGAGAGAGAGAGGAGAGAGAGAGGAGAGGAGAGAGAGGGAGAGAGAGAGAGAGAGAGAGAGAGAAGAGGAGAGAGGAGAGAGAGAGAGAGAGAGAGAGAGAGAGAGGGAGAGAGGAGGAGGAGAGGGAGAGAGAGAGAGAGAGAGCGAGAGAGATATTATATATATATATAATATATATATATATATATATATATATATATATATATATATATATATATTGTTGTGTACGTAATAAGTTGCCCTCTGACCTGCCAACGTGATCACCGTCCTGGTGGCACAGTGGCCTGGAGCGTCTGCTTTTTGAGCGCGTACGCATTTGGTGTTGGGTTCGAATCTCAACAGCGGCTGCATTTCTTTTGTAAGGACACCTTTTATTTTCGCGTCTGTTCTCGAAGCTACGTGGTCACGTGACCCGGCCAATCACAGGCCGGGGAGTAGGTCACGCCTGGGGTCGGGGTCGGCGGTGGATCAGTGGTGGTCCGGGCGGCGCCGGGGAAGGTAAGCCAGCTCTCGTTGATATTCACGACGTAGCTGGCTCATTTCCCTCTGCTCCCTTTGACTGCCACTCTGGTCCTTCTACCCTCAGCTCTCGTTGCCTTTCACGACGTAGATGGCTGCTCTCCCTCCGTTCCCTTTGACTCCGACTCCGGTTCTTCTGCCCTCCGCTGTCGTTGATATGCATGACGTCAGCGTGTCCTTGTCAACACTGTTATTCACGATGTTGATACATCTTTAGTGGCCGTTGTTGTTACCGACGACTGCTACCTCCCCTGGGGATTATAGCCGCCGTGTACTCGTATCGAACATGGTCTAAGCGAAGTAGGAAATTTGGATGACTTCATGCCTACATGCTCCTGTGATTAATATACCCCATTTTGGTTAAACGCCTTTATATGTATATATATATATATATATATATATATATATATATATATATAGCTGATGACTCAGCATTGACGAGCTTTTTGATGGATCGTTCTAGTTTCCGGGCCTTTGACTTGGCGTCATCGCTTAGATTAAAGATGGTTCGCACAAAATTACTCATATATTCATCGCTCCTTCCATTCCAACGTTTCGAGATTCTATCTCATCGTCGGAGAAGACTAAATGCCACCAGAAATAAGTTTTGAGTTCTAAGGATGAAAACTTGTGCACTACTGTTGGAAAACATCTTTTGGTACGGAGAACATAAATGAAGCATAACTAATTGAAGTAAGACAGAATCCTATTTTCCATGAAGATAATTATTATATATCCGGATAATTATTAATATTGTAATTCTATTCACGATGGATCAAAAAGCTTGTCAATGCTGAGTCAGCAGTTATTTTTAATCAAACATGTATCAAAGAAAGGATTCTGGCAAAATATTTCAACATATATATATATATATATATATATATATATATATATATATATATATATATATATATATATATATAAATATCCTCTGGTTCATAGCTGATATTCAGCAAACTTCTGGATGAATAGCATTGGTTTTCCTGTTTAGAAATTCCTGTAAGACTTCTGTGCTGATGCTGCAAATAATCTTATCACTTATACTGCATAGTGTTAATTTTGGCACTGACATGACATGTGAGTCTGTCTAGGTCACACTATTTTTCCTCATACTGCCAATTCATTTTTTAACCCTATGACTCACTGATGCAACATGGTTAGAAATCATTAGCTTATGATTCAGCTCAGGAAATGTATGACAAATGGGAGTCAGGTCATGAGGCAAAACAACATGTTTCCTGGTAAGCAGACGCAGCACATAACTCACCCCAAAACGATTGACTCATACACGGATTCACTTTTCCACTTGAGTTGAACACAGGTCATTCAGCCAAGATACTCATAAATTTCCCAACACAATCAACATCCAAAAGTAATGCCTGCTTGCCTGCTATGATCACCAGAATCAGGTAACCACCTACTGAAATGCAACATTTTTACACACATGTGCACATGCCATGGGCGTAGGAACAAGGGGGGGAGGCAGAGGGACCATGGCCCCTACCCACTTTTCAAGGTGTGGGTGGGGGGGGGGCAGCAATGCAGTGCATATTTTATGTAAATTTTTCACTCCTGCCTGACATTGTCTGGTCGCACATGCCAAACCCCTATTTCCCTTTCTGAGGTTTTCGGATGTCATCTAAAACCGAGCTCACTTGAAACCACCAAGCATAAACCAGGCTCCACAGAACCTGGACACATATGGCTATGTCCTGCCTCACCTACACCTGAATCATGTCTATGTATGCACAGAGCAAGGGCGTCAGGCAGCCCCCTGTAATCCCTGTGTGTTGCAATAGGCTCATTTTTGCTAAGTGCCAAATGCGCGGCACGAAAGAGACAAACTAATTTCACCAACCTTGATTCGCGTCGCTGAGTGTCGCTTGCTATTTCTAAGTTCATCTTATTGATGTTTTGTGGGGGTTTGAGGCAGTGCTTTTTGGATTTAATTATGATGTGTTTTAAGTTTTTGTGTGGTATGTACGAAAGCTAAAGAAGTGAACTGTGCACGACGCTGTTTGTGTGTGCGGAAGCCATGTGTAAACCTGTTGGTTATGTAAAAGGCACAGGTTTTTCTCCATGATTTACGTGTAAGGCGGCATTGGGCCGCTAGTTGCAGGAAGTTGAATGCTCTGCCTGCTGCCTTGCACTATGCTTGATTGTGTGTGTTGTATTTCTATAGCTGCATTTGCGAAGACATGTACGAACCTATTGGTACAAATATATCATATTGTTATTATGTTGTAAAGCTGATGCATCTCTTCAGTTACTCCTGACACTGCTCGGATAACTAGCCTTTTTTGATTTCTTGTTTGAAGGCATTTTGAGGCATGTAATATTAGCACGACATGACATAAATGACAGCTAGCAAACGTTATAATGCTGTGAATATCTATGGGTAGGATTGGGTCGCAATCCCATCTGATTACATATTATGGTTGTTGGGGACTGAATCCCATGTCACGTCAATTTTTCATCATCCCTCCATCTTCCTTAGGTATATGAGTGCATGTAAACACATTATGTGATGAAACAATTTTCATGAAAGTGATCAGATGTGATATTTTTGCAGCTGTTCCGTTGCATGCTTTGAAGTCCAGGTTTAATAACTTTGCTGTATGAGTCCAGTTACATCAAAGGTATCATAAAGGCTAGTTCCTCCCTTGAAAGCTGATAATAACTATAGCACTACTTTTTTTGCTTAGACATGCCAGGGACCTGCAATGAAATTGTCAGAGACGGATACCTAAGAGGGAAGCATGGAAAGAGGGGCATCTGCAGTCCTCATAGTGAGAACTGTCAGAAGACTCTGTTGCTGTGAATAGATGTTGGATCAGCATCTGT